GCGTTTATTTATTTCTATCTCGCCTTGGCTGACTCAGGCACAAGCGCTCCACTCCTCCTCCAGGCGCCTTCGGTTCGCCCGGCAATCCTGTTTTTTGCCGTTTCTTCGGCCGGAAACAAACGCTGGCTTGTTTTTCTTTTTTTAAAAAAACCCCAAAACCTTGGAAATCGACCGAGGAATGTGAGATCGGTGTTGGATGATTCCAGGTTTCGTCTGAAGGTGTTCGGAGCCGCGCTTGTTCTCTTTCTCTTCTCTCTTTTTCCTTCTCTCTCTTTCTCCCTCCCTCCCTTTCTCTTTCTTTCTCTCTTTCTCTCTCTTTCTCTCTTTCTCTCCCTCCCTCCCTCCCTTTCTCTCTCTCTCTCTCTCTCTCTTTCTCTCTCTTTCTCCCTATCTCTCTCTCTCTTTCTCTCTCTCTTTCTCCCTCCCTCTTTCTCTCTTTTTCTCTTTCTCTCCCAGCCTTTCTCTCTCTCTCCCTCTCCCTCTCCCTCTCCCTCTCTCTCTCTCTCTTACTCCCTCCCTCTCTTTCTCTTTTTCTCTTTCTCTCCCAGCCTTTCTCTCTCTCTCTCTTTCTCTCCCCCTCATTTCTCTCTCTCTCTCTTTCTTTTTCTCTCCCCATCTCTTTCTCTCACTCTCTCTCTCCCACTTTCTTTCTTTCCCTCTTTTTTCTCTCTCTCCCTCAGCCTTTCTCTCTCTCTTTCTCTCCCCCTCATTTCTTTCTCTTTCTCTCTCTTTTCCTTTCTCCCTCTCTCCATCCCTCCTCCCTCACCTTCCCACCACGGGTCACCCTAAAGCGTTGATCAAAAAAGGGGAAAGACTTTGAAGGTCTCTCTCTCTCCTTCCCCTTCAAACCCCCCCAACGACAAGATTAAGGCTTCAAGTCCGCCTATAAACGAAATCGACGTATATCGACCATCCGGCGGAGAAAACGCATCTCGGAGCCAAAAGAGGGCAGGGTGCGTTTCCACACCTGGACCGCTAGGGGGCAGAGAGCGCGCGCGCGAGGCAAGGCCTGGCATCGACGACCCGAGATTCTCTCGTCTAGCTGGTTTGCGCACCGCCCGGATTCCTATCCTAACCCTGGTTTGTGGCATCATCCCAGGTTCTGAGTCTGAGCACCACACCCTGGGCTGCACACCAGACCCCTCCAACCCCCTCCCCATCTTCAGCCCCGCGTGCTGTGTCTTCCATTTAGGACTCAGTTAACGCATTGTAAGCCGCCCTGAGTCTCCGGAGAAGGGCGGCATATAAATCAATTTTTTTTAAAAAAATCTATCATCTATCATCTACCTACCCATCCATCCATCCATCCATCCATCCATCCATCCATCCATCTATCTATCTATCTATCTATCTATCTATCTATCTATCTATCCCACTAACAAAATGCACTAAGACACACCCCATGCTATCCATAGGTGTCGGACCAAGTTGCTTATGAGGTTAGGGAGAGAAAGTGGATTCAATAATAAACTATGGTTCTGTCCATCTTGGGTTCGTGTTGGGCAAATCCAAGCCAACCCAAGCCAACCTGTTCACCTACAAGTGAAGCTTCAACTTCCTGCTTTAATTCCTGGGTTATTATGGAGATATGCATGCGACATTTTTTCAACCTGGCACCCTCTGATGTGAACGGGCACCACCCATCTTGCATGGCCAATGTAGCCCTAAGGGTACGGGGATGATGGTCTATCTATGCCTTGGGGTTAGGTAACCAATTAGGGGAGGCTCCTTTGGTTAAGGCTGGCAAGTTAGGGTGTTTGGAAAGGGAGGCCTCTTGGGCGGTGCAAGGAATAGGATTGGAAGAGATTGGAGGGAGAGAGGAGAGAGAGGAGAGAGAAAAGAGAGAGAAGAGAAGAGAGAGAGAGAGGAGAGAGAGAAAAGAGAGAGAAGAGAAGAGAAGAGAGAGAGAAAAGAGAAGAGAAGAGAAGAGAGAGAGAGAAAGAGAGAGAGGAGAGAGAGAGAGAGAGAGGAGAAAAGAGAGAAGAGAAGAGGAGAGAAGAGAGAGAGAGAAAAGAGAAGAGAAGAGAAGAGAGAGAGAGAGAGAGGAGAGAGACGAGAAGAGAGAGAAGAGAGAGAGGAGAGAGAGAGAAAAGAGAGAGAAAAGGTGAGAGAAAGAGAGGAGAGAGAAAGAGAGGAGAGAGAATAGAGAGAGGAGAGAGAGAGAAAGAGAGAGAGGAGAGAGAGAGAAAAGAGAGAGAAGAGAAGAGAGAGAGAGAGAAAAAGGTGAGAGAAAGAGAGGAGAGAGAAAGAGAGGAGAGAGAGAATAGAGAGAGGAGAGAGAGAGAAAGAGAGAGAGGAGAGAGAGAGAAAAGAGAGAGAAGAGAAGAGAGAGAGAGAGAAAAGAGAGAGAAGAGAAGAGAGAGAGAGAAAAAAGAGAGAGAAGAGAAGAGAGGAGAGAGAGAGGGAGACCCCAAAGGAAGAAAGATGGGTTTTTTTTCTAGCAGAAGTTTTGGTTTCCAGAGAATGCCCAATTGTTTTCAGAGCAAAGGTTCAAGGAAGCTCATTGGGAGAAGGCAAGGAAACGAAACTACGCGCACATTGAGGGCCCCCCCCTGTTTTTGTTTGTTTGTTTTTTTGGCGTTTACACCCAAATCCTGCAAGAAAATTAAATTTGAAAGGGGGAGGATTGAAAACATAATCTGTTTACACACCATCTTCCAAGCTTCCCTTTCAGAAGTTCTCAAAGATACTGAAAAGAGAAGGCGCCTAAAAAAACAGGGAGGGGACAAGCAACCTTCCTTCTCCTTTCAAACCAACCTCTTCTCGATCTATCCTGGAGAATTTAGAGGCATCACATGAGATTAGTATTATTTTTCTGTTTAGGCAAATGTAATTGGCGAATGAGTGTGTCCTTGTTTACTTACTATCAGGTTTTTCCTCCCCCTTTTGGGATACAACAGAGATTTCTAAACAATCAGGTGAAAGCAAGATATAGATATATACCCATGTTTCCCTGAAAATAAGACCCTGTCTTATATTTTTATAAGCCTTATTGCCATGCGCTCAAAAACCCGATTGGGCTTATTATCAGGGAATGTCTTATATATATATATATATATTGTTTTTCTATGGAAGCACCTGGTCTACCCCAATATGTGGGAGGGAGCATACTGCTTCCCTTTTGCCTTTCATCTCCAATCCAGAAGCCCTCAAGCAGTCGCATTTGCGACAAACCATTTTATACCATTTCACACACACATATATCTATATCTATATCTATATCTATATCTATATCTATATCTATATCTATTTCTATTTCTATTTCTATATCTATCTATCTATCTATCTATCTATCTATCTATCTATCTATCTATCTATCTATCAAACCAAGCTCACTTGCTCTCCCTCCCTTTTTCTCTCCCTCAGCGGCTGGGCTCTAAATCTCTCATTCTGTCAAATCCTGCCACCGCATACACGTGTTGCTTGACCAAGCCGTCTAACTTTGGTTAAGCAAACTATGGCTTAATGGCAAAACCTTAAAACATCCCGTTCTAAGCAAGCACCTTCCTTTCGAAATTGAGAGAGGTATTATTATTATTATTATTATTATTATTATTATTATTATTATTATTATTATTATTCATCCTTCCGAGGTAGGTAAAATGAGGGCCCCGAATTGTGGGGGCAATAAGCTGACTTTGTATAAAAAAAGAACACCGCTTAGGGGGGGGGGGCGAAAGCCCTACTAAGCAGGTATATACAAAAAGTATGAAGGCTATTGCTTAACGCATTGTAAGCCGCCCTGAGTCTCCGGAGAAGGGCGGCATATAAATCGAACCAATAAATAAATAAATAAATAAATAAATAAATAAATAAATAAATAAATAAATAAATTATTACTACTACTACTACTACTACTACTACTACTACTACTACTATTATTGGTTAATCTTTAGTGAGATTCACAGCCTTTGAGGCTGGTTAATAGCTCAGCAGCACGAGTCCTAACCAAGGACCTAGGAACTGTTAAGGTAACTGTTATGCTTATTATTATTATTATTATTATTATTATTATTATTATTATTGGAATTTGTTTAAAGACTATGAGACTGTTTTTCTACTATAAAGTAAGCTTTTGATACACCAGTTTGCATATCTCTTATTCATTGCTCTCAGCAACGTTTCCTTGTGCATTTACTCTGCTGGTTGGTAACACAACAACAATATCCTTAACATTTATTATTATTATTATTATTATTATCATCATCATCATCATCATCATCATCATCATCATCATTATCATTATTCTAAAGTTTTAAAGCAAGATGCTTTTTTAAAAAAAATAATAATAATAATCTCAGAACGTTTTGAAACTTTTACCCCTTTAAAGATACTATAATATGATCTCCATTTAGCCCAAATCAGATGGGTTTCTGAATCTGCCTCTGGTTTTCCACAGGCTGGGATTATCCCAGGATCTAAGCTACTATTTGGCTTGGATGAAACGTCTCGCAGATTCATCACACTAGAGCCACTTTCCTCGGCACGTGATAGTTTATTCAATAAACCATTAAGAAAGAATTGGGGGGGGGATATAACCCCAATTTTTTTTTCGGGGGGGGGGGGGGGGGGGAAGAGAGAAATCCTTCCGAGGTGGTGAGAATTATTCTGTTATTCTGAATTGGGACAGCAACTGAGCTGAGCAAGTACTGAGCAAGCCCTTCTGGTTTTTCATGTGTAAACAAACCATAAGTTTCAGCCAGGTGGTGAACAGGAGACCACAAGGAAATCCATCTTGAATTCGAATTGGGGAATCCAGACCCTATCGCCGGGTTGGGGTGGGGGGAGTCCAGGGTCGCGCAAGCAGGGAGAGATGTGGGGGAGGAGAAGGAGGATCAAATCTCAGGTTAGAGCCAAGCTATGGCCAAACTTCGATTCATCCAGGATGAACAGGGTCAAATTAAGCACCTATTGTACAACAGCCATGGTTTCTAGCGAGCCCTGCTTTGCGCGGTGCGGTGTGTAGGTTAACCTCCGTTTCTGTCCGCTTTCTCTTTCAGCCTCCTCGAGAGTAAGCTTCCTTGAAACTCAAGGACGATTTTTGTTCCCAAACGTGATTCGCACGTTAGAGCTCTTCACGGACCTGCAGCTTTGGGGCTTAAGGCGCACCGGCCCCAAAGAATGAAATTCGCTTTTCCCTCCACCCCAAATGGGGAAATCGGGGGACGCTCCGAAACCCTCGATTCGGGTTTGATCCTGGACGGAAATCGATTACCAATGGGTGCATGTCGTTGGCCCGAGTGAGGAACAGAGACAAGGTAAGTGGATTTTTTCTCCTCCCTTTATATGGACATTTTTTTTCCTGGGTTCTTTTTTGAGGGGTTTACATCTCTCGGCCTGAACTAATCCTCGCCTTTCAAACTTCGCACTCTTTGATTGCTTTCACACGTCTTCCTTAAACCAGGTCCTATCTTATGATTCTTGATGGAACGTATCTTTTCTTTTATGTACCCTGAGAGTATATGCACCAAGACAAATTCCTTGTGTATCCAATCACACTTGGCCAATAAAGAATTCTACTCTACTCTACTCTACTCTACTCTACTCTACTCTACTCTACTCTACTCTACTCTACTCTACTCTACTCTACTCTACTCCTGTTCTATTCTATTCTATTCTATTCTATTCTATTCTATTCTATTCTATTCTATTCTATTCTATTCTATTCTATTCTACTCTACTCTACTCTACTCTACTCTACTCTACTCTACTCTACTCTACTCTACTCTACTTTACTCTTGTTTCTCCCTCAGCATTAATCGTGGCTAAATTTCTGGTTAGGAGAAAAAAAAATCCTCTCGCTGCTTGGTAAATTTGGTAGATGTCTAACGAAGAACCCAGGGCAGTAGCATTTCGTGGGAACGCAACTACTGGGTTCAAGGAAGGGATTCCATTTAACGCGGGGTTGAAAACGAAAAGCGATCCGCGATGAAGTCGGTTTCGGGGTGGGGGGTGTTACAAACTGGAGCGCCTGTTGTCCGAATCTACCTTCTCCGCCGCCATCTCCTCGCCCGGCGTTTATTTTGTTTTGTTTTATTTTATTTCTTGCCCGCCCCATTCAAGAATGGGGGGGGGGGCTCCGCTCCCAGAGTTTCCAGATCGGAGGCGGATTGCACAGAACGGAGAAATGGAGCCTCAGCTGGTTTAGCTATCCACGTGTTGAGCTGCTTTTGGAGAAAGATATTAAAACTAGATCAAGGGGTGGGCAATTAATTTCCCCAAGAGGCCACACGAGAAACTGGGACTGTGGCGGGGAGCCAAACCAATAGCTCCCCTTAGGAAGATGCCAAGCACGCGCGCGCGCACATACCTAAATTGTTTTGTTTTTTTTAAAAAAAAGTCGTTTTCAAAAATAAAACCAAAATAAAAATCCGTGCGAGCCTGACAAAAGGCTGGAGGATGTGGGCGGGGGGGGGTCTCAAATACCCAGATGTGGATTAGATAAACAGGCAAAACGAGGCCTAATGCGATGAAATCTAGAGTTGCGCACAATTTTGGGGGGGAATTGCACATCCCGTGTCAGGCGCTTGCCAATCCGCCTAAGAAAGTCTGGTTTATGGAGTAGAGTCCTAGTTTCCAGATTAGGGACCCTTCCCAGTTCCTTGCGCCCACCTATTCACGCTTGTTTAGAATTTGTTACAAAGGCCAGAGGCACAATTTTTTTTAAATGGATTTATAACGAATCCCGAAAGAAATAACAATTTAGCACGGGTGGGTTGTTGGTTCCTTGTAAGAGACTGAGGGTATTAGGGTTTTTTTTTTGCGCGGCCGAACGAGGCATATTTCTCCGAGTAAACGCAGACTCCCTCAGTTTTTCTGGCCACTCGGACTTTCAGCGCAGCCTATTCGATGTCTTTTGGAGGTGAGCTTTTTCAGGCACGTTTCAATTTTTCGAATTGTTCAATTCTTGGTCGGAAATTCTCTTCTGTACTAGGAGCGCGCGGATAAGCTGGAGAAAGAAAACGCTCGTTTCTTTGGGGAGAAACTCTGAATTTGGTTAGTCAGATGAAAAGAGACCTTGGGTTTGACTTTTGAGCCCAATCACTTTTTTCCCCAATCCGCTCAGCTTTTCGGGGTCTCGAAATATTACCTTTTTTTTTTAGTTCCGAGCTCAAAATTTAAAATATTTTATTATTAGTCGGCCGCTGATTTTCTTCCCTCACCAACTGCAGAAATCGCATTTTTATTGGAGGGGGGAAAACACTCAGATAGAGATCTTTAAACTGGGCGGGGGGAGAGAGAGGAATGTCAAAGGAAAGTTATCAAAGTGACAGATTTCTGGATCACCGGCGATGCAAGTTGGGAGGAGAGGCTGGGAGATTCGGGAAAAGTAACTCCTGCCCGCGTTTACAAATTCGGTTTTGATAGGCAAACAATGCTTGAAGCTGAGATATTTTGCAGTTTGCATTTTGGGAAAAAGGAAAATGCCTACCCCCTTTAAAATGTAGGAAAGCAAGCTTACCGTAACAACGTGGTTTTGATTTTATTCCATCTTTTATAAGGTGTTTTTTCCCCCCCTTTATCCCGCCATTATTATTTTTGTAAATAACTCAAGGCCAGGAACACATCTAACACTCTTCCCTTCTTCTCTTTTCCCCCCTACACAACAACCCCGTGAGGTGAGCTGGGCTGAGACTGGCCAAGGTCAGCCTCGTTGCAGAATATTCTTTTTAAGAAATTAAACCGCAGATCATCAAAGGCAAAAAGTTGCCTTTTCACCTTGCTACATTGCGAAAGTTAAAATACATCTTCTGCTTGGGAAACTGGTGACAAAAAGTGCATTCAGAAGTCAATAATCGTAGGAACGCTCTGTAATACAGACTCCCTGTAAGATTGGAGATAGATTTTTTTCTCTTGAATTCAGCATTTAATCTACAGCAGCCAAGAAGGCTCAAAGCGCGCTTTCTCTTCCACCGATTCCCAAAGGGTCTACTAACTCGAAGGCGGGATGAATTTGGACCCAGCCGCCCTCACAGGACAAAATAGGAGCCTGCCATTTCTTAAGCCTCCCGACCTGACCCCGCCCAAAAAGAGAGAGACAACAATCGAAATTTCTGTCTGGTTGAGAATCAAAAGAGCCGAAATATCTAAGATTCCACCGGCAGTTAACGAAAAGACTTTAGACGATTCCCCCCCCCCCCAGGATGGAAATAAAATTAAATGCCAGGCCGAGTTAATGTTGCTGATCCCAGCAACATCCCGATCCCAGCTCCTTTTTTTGAGGCCTGTTTCTGGCAGGGCGTTTTGGGCTCTACCTACAATTCAGAAGCTCAGAATACTCGCTTTCACCAAGCAGGCCCAGAAGGAGGAAGAAAAGAAAGTCCTCCTATACGTGTCTCTTATAAAAAGGGAGTCCCATTCGCCAAAAGCCCGACCAAACGTGGCTTGCGTTTTTACGCGCTGCTAGGGAACAGAATCGGAATTTTAAAAGATCGCCGGAATAGGGCCTACTTTTTCTCCTCCAGCCCACTCAAAATTTCAGGCACCCACTCTTCTCTCGCCCCCACTCCACCTCAACCAAAGGAAGGTGTAAGCCGTGGCCCTCTGAACATCGCGGGGGAAGGGAGAAAGAAAAAAAAAACAACCACCACGCGGAGAACTTGGCACGAGGGTGCGGCTAGGTGTCTTCAACGGAGAGGGTGGGCGCTTGTGCGCGGGTGGGTTTTGTCGCCTTTAGGATGGCTGGATCGCTCGCTCCAGGGGTTGAAAAATGAGACGGGGTGGCGATCCTCGAGGCGGGTTTAAATTTGGGCGAGATTTAAGACGACCCCCGCCCCCCACTCCGAATCCTGGGTGCAGAATTTGGTTTGGCGTTTTGGGAAAGGCTGAGTTTCCCAAATCAGAGGTGCAGCCGAGACTGACAAAAAAAGGTTGGGCGTCTGCACGCGTTTCTAAGGGTCCCCCCCCACTTCGCCAGGTGCCAAGCCAGACACTCTCCGTTCTCTCCGGCCCCCCTCCCCAATCTCGCAAGAGGCTTGCTGGGGGGGGGGGGAAGGGGCTAGTTACCCCTTCCACCACCAGGTTTTCCTAACTCCGAGTCCCTGATGGAAGGATCTCCAGTGGATCTCCAGTCCGGGTGCGCGTTTGGCCATACTCCAGGGGCTTCCTCACCGGTTCCCCAAACCAGCAGAGAACTCTTTCCCCAACCTCCCATTTTTTCCCCCTTCCCGAACATAACCTTCAGATTGTGGCGGCGTCCAGGTAGAAGGAAGGAAGGACTTATATCCCACCCAGAAGGGAAGGGGGAGCAAAGGTGCTTACCTGCCAAGCGAGGTGAGCCGGCTGTTTGTGTGACTTTAGGCGGCTACTTGGGCGCAGGGTCTCTTTGACAGGAGGTAGGGCGGGTGGCACGGATTCACGCAGCCTTTTTCTTCCTTCTTGCTTTCTCTGTATCCCCCACCCACCCTGTCCTGTTCAGATGACAGGCGCTGGATAGTCCCTAACTACCCCTCCTCTTTGCAAGTCTCCCCCCCTTGCCTTACCCAATTATTAATTTTAAACAGCCCAACTCTCCCTCTCCCTCTCTGCACCTCACTCCCTCCCTTTCTATCCGCAGCGCCTACCCTTCTTTTACGTCTCCTACGGAAGGGGTTACCTGCCGGATTTCTCCTCCTGTTCTCCACCTGGCTGAGGATTCCTTTTGTCACGACTGACTGGCCCCCTCGAGGGAGGGGGCTTGCCTCGTCTCTTTCTCTCTCTCTCTCTCTCCTCCCCCCCACCCGCTTTCCTCTCCTCCTTGCTGTATTTCTCGTTCCCTGTCGCTCCGTTTTTCTTTCTTTCCTCCCGTTCACTTTTTTTTGGGAGGCTGCCCCCATTTTTTTTTGCGCGTAAACGGACGCACTATTTGACAGGGCGAGGGACCGCCTCACTGCGGCGTAGGGATATTAGGCACACCGATTGGGAGTTCAAATGTCAGCAAGTTTTTTTTTTCCCTCCCCACTTTTCCCTCCTCCTCCACCTCCTCCTCTTCTCTCTCGGTCTCGCTCACTCGCTCACTCTC